CCCCACACGACTTGTTACCGTACTCCGTACTCATTCACCCATACATTCATTGTGTGTGTATGTGTGAAAAGTTACCATCACCCGAACCGACCAGAACCAAAGGTGTGCCTGCATGGCAAGTCGCTCACAATTTTAACACCCGGTCTATTCATTCATTCATTCCTTCGTTCAGACAAGCAGACATATCCACACGCCTCGTCTTGAACGTTTTGTGTCAGTGTTTGGTTGTATGGGCGGAATACCGGGGGCGACTTCATGGGCCATGCCCCGCCCAACGGAGAGCTCGATGGATTAAGGCATAGATTGCATATGGCGAACATATTCTTCTCGGCAGACATCTGCATTTTCATTTGTTTTCAATGTAGCTCGTGGTACTGAGTTTAGCGGTTTATCAGAGATTTGTCATTGTTTCCACCCGAACCTATTCATGCATACGAGTGTTGTGGGATAAACTGGACGGACTGTCGATAAAGTGTGGTGGGAAAACAGTGGGACCTCGGCAGCTGACTTGACTGGGTAATGCAGTCGTGGCCCTGAGTGCTTGCCTCCGGTAGTAGTAGTAGTGCCAGAGTACGGTAACCAGGTGTGCAAGTTTTCCCACTCCATGTCGTGGGATCGAATCTAATACACACATGAGGCACTTGTAAGCGGTCCTCTTGCAAAGTTTTTCTGTAAATTCCTTAAAAGTCATGTGCTTTTGGATGCCAGCCCCGGCCAATCCTGCCAACTTGACAGCCAATTCGACACCCTGTCAAGCTAATTCAATACCCTGTTAGGCCAATTCGGCACCCGGACAGGCCAATTCGACACCCGGACAGGCCAATTCAGGCGCAGCACAGCCCAATTCCGAGGCTCCACAGCGCAATTCGAATACCTCCGGCGGGTCCGCCAGAACAATTCCAGACCTCGGCAGACCAATTCTTTTGTCAGGAATAAAATCCAGGCTAATTCTGCGACAGAGCTCTTCCCTAATTCCAGCCCGAATCCTACCCTCCTAGAGACGTGGTACGTATGTTCGTCTGTCTGTTTGCCTGTCTGGCCCCCGCCGGGAGGTCCCCGCCGGCTGGCGCAGGCTGGCGGCACAGGTCGCAGCGAGATAGAACTCTACTGAGGGTCACACTGCACTGCCCGCGTTGTGCGGAATGAATGGACCATCACCACCATCACCACCACAATCTCGTTAATGAGGCGTACGGCGTCCCGGGGTGATATGTTCGGACGCTGCGAGGAAGCATGTATGTATGTATGTATGTATGTATGTCAGCACGTGTGTTTTAAGGAACTACACACAATAAATCTCTACAACGACAGATAATTTAAGGAAAGGCGTGAGCCATTTAGTCGTACAAAGGAAAGCAGGTTCACCGGGTTCACCAGCCAAACGGAGCAGGACTACACACGGACATGGATATACAGAGATATAAAGACACACATACATACGTACATACAAAAGAGCGCACAAGGCATTCTTCCTGAGCGTAACAGATACACGGCGCTATCCGCACTGCGGCCATTGGACGTGCGAGTGCTGTCGATTCCTCCAACTTGTGTGTCTGTACGCACATATGTATGTAGGCACATCGACGAGTGTGACTTAGCGGCTCAACACGAACGAATGCACGTACCGCCCTTCCTTCCCCCTCTTTTCCCTTCCGTGGGAACCTCCCCCCGCCCTAACCCCTCCTGCCCTTATTTTACAACGAGGTGCCCTAGGTAGCTTCAACATGGGGAAGTAACAATTCGACATATTTGTGCCGTTACAATAACGATGCATCAAGGTGCCGTACACAGCGTGGCAAGCAGGCCTAGCGGTGGCAAGGGTACGTACTTGGAAATTGTTTTCACGCACTTGCCCCCGCTCTCAGCCACCCAAGCTGCTGTCCAAAGAAGAAGAAAGCGTAAAGGGGGATAAGAAGTAAAGGAGAAGAGGAATGAACGGGAACGCCCTGGAGTGGGAAATCCGCCGCCGTGAAGGAAAAATTCGTTATCCGGGGCCCCCGCTTGCCATCGTAAATATCCTTGCAACGTCGCCTGATGCTGAGGCTGCTGATACTGAACATCATCCCTTCTACCTCCAAAACAATTCCACATCAACATAGGGTCAGTACTCCTCCTTCCAGCATAATTACTTTACCACAACACACAGCAAAAATATCTAGCTGTGCACTGCACGACTCAACTCAACCCACGTGCTTAGCACTCAAGGAGAGCGTCCCCCTTCCCCACTCGCCAGCCGCACACACACATACACACATACACACTCACACACATACACACATACACACATACACACACAGCTCAGCGCCGCCGCCGCTGCCCATTAATCTTCTTCCCATCCTTGCGCTCTCTCCAACTTTACATTCTTCATCTCAGTAACATCTCTACAATGGCGAACTAACTCGGTATGATGACGTCATTCGGGAGGGAGCGGGGACGGACCTCTCGTCCGAGAGCCTTTCTCTGCACACACACACACCCTCACCCCCCCCTCACCCCCGCTCCCCCCCTCACCCCCGCTCCTCCGAGGCCACTCCCTGCTCCGCTGTGGGGTTCTCAGATTGCATCAACAGCTGCGCTCTCAGCGCTGCATCCTGCTCCTGACGAGTCCACAAACCTCTCCTGCACGTACATACGCATACTCATACACATATACACGTAAGCATCCACGACATGGCTATGTCAGCACACGCCGCAATACATGCCTCGCGGCATCACTGCCAGGTCTCCTCCTTTCAGGAAGCCCAATCCCTCCTCCACCCCCCCCTCCTCTTCATCTTGCCTCTCCATGTCGGCCTGAGGACGAGGACCTCAACGCATACACAGCAGTAGTCAACGCTTTCAGGTGTTTTCACCCCCACCCCCCCCCCCCCGATATAAAAAGAAGACTCGCGGGTGGCTCTCGTATGTGTATGCGTGTGTATGCGTTGCACCTCTCCGGGAGCTGCGCTGTATCGCCCTCCCTAAGTGCCATAGCAATGGAGCACATACATACGTACATACATACGTAGCTGGAGCCCTGAGGGGGGGAGCCCCCGAGGGCCGCAGACTGTCTGAGATAGATAGACAGGGGGGTACCACATGCGGCCACACGGCCGGGGGGAGGCGGCAGCAGCATCAGAGAGACGAGGTGGCGCGTGTCATTGCACACAGCAGCTGTTACGGCTACTGCTACTGCTGCTGCTGCTGTTATTGTTGCTGATGTTGTTGTTGTTGTTGCTGCTGCTGCTCCACTGCCGGGTCTCCCTATCCTGCGTTGAATCGTTGTCAGATGGAGCCCCCAGCAGCCGCTGCGCTTGTTGTTCTTGTTGTTGTGGCGTGTCCTGTTGTTGGGCGTCATTTCTGCGTACGACATCCTGGGGTCCGGTAAACGCGCGTTGCCGCGATGACAAGCCTGCGTCCCCGCCGCCGCCGCCACCGCCGCGGCGGCGAGAAGCCCAGGCAAACCAGGGCAGTCCGCTTCCGCCGCCACCATCGCCGCCAAACCGCCGGCCGCCACTTCCGTCGACCACAGTGCCTGACGCCGCCGCCGCAGCATCAGCGGCTCCGTCACCGGCACCCCCCGTGCCGCCATCACTTCTGCCAAAGGAAAACGACCACGAGCCCCAACGAAAGTTAAAACCTCTGCTGCCGGCAGCCACGCTGCTGCTGCTGCTACTGCTGGTGCCGCCGGCAACGTTGGTACGGGAGCTGCGAGCTGCGGGCGCTCCGCGAGCACCTCCTCGTCCGACAGCGCCACCGCCGCCGCCGCCGCCGCCGCCACGCAGGCCGGCTTCCGCCAAATCCAGTAGTCCGCCGGGTGCCCCCAGGTGCATAATGACCAGCGTGGTCGCCTGTTCCACCGTCAGCTCCGGATGGAGGACCTGGTGGTGGTGGGAACGCAGTTGAGAACAGAAAAACACGCAAGTGAAGTGCGACGGAACTTAGTACGGCATAAAAATCAGGATCCATGTACGACAGTTTCAAGAGGGAACATCATTTATGTTGTGTCATGTCATGTCACGTACGGCTACCGGGGGTGATAGCAGCCCGCCTCCCCCCGGGGGTGGGTGGGTGGGTGCCACTTGGAGAGAGACCACCTGGCGGGGCATTGTACGACACCACGTGCCTGCTCAGCCGAGGCAGACAGATATACAAGGGGCATACGACGACAGAGGTACCCCCACGAGTACGAGGAGGAGGAGGAAGACGAACAGATGAATGGCATGGAGACAGACATACAGACATTGAAAACGCGCGTGCAGGGCAGGGCAGCACAAGGGCAGGCGACGGCATTACCTCTAGATAGTTCATGAGCGTCAGCAGCTGCAGTCCCTCCAGCACGGCAACTCCGGGTCTATCACCATCACCACCACCGTCCACCCGCTCCGCAGCGGAGGCCGAGGCCGAGGCCGCCGGCTCCGAGGCCGCCGCGCCGCCAGCTGCAGAGGCGGTGGCGGCGGCTCCGCCACGGCGGGCCTCCGCCTGTGTCACCTGCCCGAAGCACGGCTCCACTTTCACCACCCGATGTTCGGGGCGGTGTAGCTGATTGAAGCGGCCACGACCCGCGGCACCCCGGTCGTAGCAGGCCCCGCACAGGTCGTAGCCGACCACCTCGGTGCACTCCACACACTCGCGTCGAGAAGCATGTTCAACAGCGGGGGGGGGGGTAATGGGGGTAAGACGACCCACGACAGGGGAAAGGCGGGTCATGGGGTCGGGGTCCCAGTACACGAGGGCTCCCACCCGGGACGTACGGGGGAGGGGGACGGCCGCGAAGGAATGTCATATACATACATACATACATACATACATACATACATACATACATACATACATACATATACATGCATACCGCACCTGTATCTGCGGCCAATAATGGGGAACATCCCGCAGTCGTCACAACCCACGGAGTACCAGGTGAAGCACGTGTCCGCCTGCGCCGCCATCTCCTCGCGAAGAGCCAGCCAGATGTCGATGATGCTTGGGGGAGGTGGGGGAGGCGCGGAAGGGTGGGAGGCGGCGGAAGAGGACAAGCTGGTGCCGTCAGCACCTCGGCCAGCGGCGGCGGCACCTATAGCTGCGGCTGCGATGAGCGCATCTATCCGCGGCAACTTGGAGCCTGTAGGTGGGTGCGGGTGCGGGTGTGGGTGAGTTGGTGGTTGGAACAGCGGACTGGAGGATGCAAGGGTAGAGCCTTAGCGGCGCAGGGAAGCCATCCGTCGCGACATTGGGAGCCCCAAGATGTGTGTGCCCCTGTGTGTGTGTATGTGCAGGAGAAGGGAGAGGCAGAGATACACACATACATACAGACAGGCGGAGACAGAGAGAGGGGGAGAGGCGCAAAGAATGAGATGCAGCGCGAGGGAGATTCGCATCGGGTGGTTGGTGTCAGCGGCTGCAGGAGTTGCGTGCCGTGTGGTTTGTAATGCGGCGGCGCCGGGGCCCCCGGAGGCGAGAGGGGGGCCCCGGGGGTATTGCCAGACGGAATGCGCCCCGACTGGGGGTGGAGGGGTGGAGGGGAAGGGAACGGAACCTGGCGGGACCTAGGGCGGCATGTGGGCAGGGCGGGAAGGCCGTGACGGGGCTCCCCGTGGGGGGGGGGGCGGGAGTGGACCCGTGGGTGGGCGACACACTGTGTGTGTGGGGGGTAGCGCGCTGTCCCTCGTCGCCCTCAGGACATCGCCCTCCTGCACCTCCGTAGCTCCCTGCGAGCTGCGAACCCCTCTTGGCCCTGAACCCCTACCCCCCCCGACCACATAACGTCTAATAAAGCTTCTGGGCTTCGTCATCCCTTGGCAGCTTCCCCCCTCCTCGGCAGTTAATTCCTTGTTTCCATGCATGTGCTTCCCTCCGCCCTCCTACACCTTCTGTAGGTACCTTCTGCTCTGCTCTTCGCCGCCTTTAGCCTGACTTCTTACTACTACTACTACCACTACTACGGTTTCCTTTGCTTTTCCACTTTCCTTACACCTTTTCTACTTGACCTCGGCTGCTAGGTAGTCCTTCCGCCGTTTCTCCTCTGGACTCGGCAGCGAGATACTCATTCGCTGTCTAGCTCGCTGCCCACCTCGCCGCGATTTGACCACTTCTTCCCAGATCACTACTGGTTGGTAACCGCTTACAATTTCCTGCAATAAACTGTCTATTTTATGTTTTCTACACATATGTTCTTCTTCTTTTGCCGTGCCATCGCACTGATCATTCGCACAGGGGCCCCGCAATCGATCATCGTCCCTCCTACGGGTCCCCCCCTTCTCCGCCCCCAAACCCCGCCACGGGCATTTACAGCAAACGGCGGAGCGGCCGCTATCCACTCACGCGGGCGCTCCCATCGGCTACTGCCGCCGCTACTGTCACTACGTGCAGCTGCAGCAGTGGGCTGCGGGCCCCCGGGCTCCTGCTGCTGCTGCTGCTGCTGCTGCTGCTGGGGCTGCTGGTTCGCGAACTTGGCACCACCTTCATGACCGCCGCAGCAGCTGCTACCATGCCCCCTGCCGCTGCTGCTACTGCTGCTACCGGCACCTTCAGCTTCCCCGTTACGGGCCGACGAGGCTGCGGCGGCGGCTGCGATGTCGGTGGTTGCCGTCACTGCAGCTGGAGCCGCTGCGGCGGCAGCTCTCAACTCCTCCTCCTCCTCCTCCTCCTCCTGCCGCTGTTTATACGTGTCTGGGTAGAGGCAGCGGAGAGCCTCCTCCAGCTGCGTTGCAGGAAGACCATCATCACCACCAACAGCAACAGCAACACCCGGGCGGAAAGCTCGAGTTTGAAGACGTGTTTCTACCTGTTTGTCCAACCGGCAAAAGCAGGTGTGTGCCGTACCTATCTACTCTGACATAAAGCAGGCCTACCGCTGACCCCTCCCCTCCTGCCCGCCCTCCTACATGATGATGCTGATTATCACCCTCCCCCCCCACATCCACATCCACATCCACAGCAGTACCTCCGGCAGAGCAGCCGGCCTGATTGATGGTGTGTACGGCAGTTTACGCCCATTACACCTTGAAACCCTCCCTCTCTCCCTCCTTCAGCAGTCCGCCCATCCCAGACTCCACATACATACATACATACATACACACGCTCTTACCTTGCCGCATACCTGCGGACCGGGAATGTAGCTCCGACCGCAAGAAGGGCACTGAGGTTTTAAGTGCTGCTCCTGCTTCGGCTGCTGCTGTTGCTGTTGTTCTGTGGGCTGCTGCTCAAGCCGCCGCCCCTGCTCTTGATGCTGCTGCCTCGGCTGCTGATCGTGATGGTAGCCCTCGTCCTCCATCTTCTCCTGGCGCCCGGGTTGCCGTTGCCGCGGCGGCGATGCCGGCGGCGACGCCGAGCCCTCTCTCCGGGGCAAGGTCCGGGGCAGCTTCCCCAGCCCGTCCGTGTCCGGGTCCAGTTGCCCACACACGCCCTGCTGCTGCTGCTGCTGCTGCTCCGGGTGCTCCCGAGATGACCGCTGCTGCTGCTGCTGCGGCGGCGGTGACGCTCCGGGCCCGGTAGGCGACGTTATCAGATGGCCCGCAGCTGCTGCTACAGCTGCTACTGCAGCCCCCTGGGCTCGTGTTCCTCGGGAAGCCCTTGGAGTTCCGGGTAGACAGGACCTGCACACCTGTGGGCGGTTGTAGTTGCGGTTGCGGTCATAGCAAAAAGTCAAGGTTGGGCTCTGGGATTCGAACTGGGGTTCGCGTGGGGAGCCCTCATGGGATCATTCGTGGGACCAGGACTGAGTCGTAAGAGGCAAGTCAAGGCACGGCGAATCGGATATGGGCTTCTTCTCCACTAGTTGAGATTACGTTGCCATGCACCACATGCATTCCTTCCCTCTCTCTCCCTCCCCCCCTTATGCCGGCCTGTGTGTGTACGGACCACCGCAGAAATCACCTCCCTCATGCACCGGCTCGGCCGGGTCGGGCCGGGAGGTACGGGGAAAGGTAGGAGGAAAAGATACCCACCACGCAGCCGCAGCTGAGAATGCAGGGCTGGTAAGCGAGGCGGCCACAGGAGGGGTTGCTGCACCTGTACGGCTGCGCAACACGTACGACGGCAGCCGCATCGGCATGCGACACATCAGCGGTAGGGTCGGCGCTGGTGACAGAAGCTGTTGTTGTCTGCTGCCGCTGCTGAGTCGCTATCCTCTGACGTCTTGCTGTCTGCGGCCTTCGCCCGAGCTGGTGATACCAGCTCTGAAGATGATGTTGGTGATGCTGTTGATGATGATGTTGATGTTGTGTTGTATTCCCTTCTACATGTCCTGATGATGCCGATGCTGGTGCTACGAAGAAGGGTCCTTTTCCCGGGCTGGAGCTGGGGCTGGGGCTGGGGAGCGGTATGTATGGTGACTCCACATGCTGCTTGGCCTCCAGCTCTGTGTGTGTGTATGTATGGGTGTGGGTGCATGGGTTTACGGTTGTGTTGTATGGGTGTGTGGCGGTATGATCGTGCAGAAAAACCAAGGCGGTCAGGTGAAGAAAAAGGTGTGCGCTCCACTACGAGGACCCTCGGGCGGAGGTACACTCCCAACGCCCAACGAAGGGGAAGATAGGGAAGCGCCAAGCGCCACCGCTTACCCTCTTGCCCGCACCCTCTTCCCCTCACCCTCTTCCCCTCACCCTCTTCCCCTCACCCTCTTAACCTTACCGCGGTTCTCTCGTTCACGCTCGGAGTACTGTTCTGGAAAGGAGGATGCGAGGAAGTAATGGAGCGGAACGCAGACCTACGTGGGGGCGAGGGGGTGGTCCGCTTCAGGGCCATTCCTTTGCTCGGGTAAGGGAAGCTATCATAGGGGGTCCCGCAAGGCGCATGTTCTTAATGCATCCCGCAACCCCTAACTGGCAGAACATGGGAACGTATCAGAGCAGGTTCGGGAATGACCAACGACGGGCGATGGACGGAAATGTGTAGTGAAGGGGACCACGCAGCGCGCTTGCTGCGAGCGCGCGGCCTTCCAGCTGGTGGACAGGCGGAAGAGAGCGGAAAAGACGCGGCGGGGGTAGAAACAGGCGTCATGGGGCTCCTTACCCGGGGAAAGTGCGTGTAAGCGGCCCGGCATAGCGGGCACTGCGATGGACGGAATGGGTTCATGGAGTTGTGCATGCACCTGTGCGTGACGAATGGAAGGTAGAATGGAAGGGGGTAAGAAGGTAGGCTTAGGTAGAGAGGTCGCAGGCGGGAGAGGCGCGAAGACGAAACAGAGCGGCAGTTATGAAACTTTGGCTACGATCTCACCAGAAGCAGAACGTATGGCCACAGTTGTTGATGCAAGGTTTGTACAGGAGATCCATGCATATGGGGCAGTTCCAGTTCTCCAGCGCCAATGCGGATGCACATGGCTGTTCTTCCTCACTCCCTTCGGTTTGCTCGTTGGTGGATACTCTTCGCCGGCCCTCATGCGCGGCTGCCATGCTAACGGCTTAAATAATCAGCGAAATCTAACAGGACCTGTACCTTTACCTGGTAAAGGCTGTCATAGAAGAACAAGGAGTATTAACTGAGGGAGCAGGCTTAAGTTGCAGTAACGAACTGCCTTCACGGCCAGTCGTTGGAGCTAGAGGCCACGGAATTCAAGTATAACAGGGCGTTGGTATCGGAGCGTTGGTGCATTCCCTTGGCGTTTCTCTCGTAGGGCTATGTTCTTATTTCTTGCAGCTCTTGTGAGTATAATAAAAAATATTGTATGCTGGCCATACCGTGTGACGTCTCGTAAGGCTTTGAGGTACGGGGCTCGGTGCTGCGTTATACGTCAAATGGCCCTCATCTGCAGCAAATCTACGATCTCCGCTTCGGTGCGTTGCGTTACTTTACTGGGTTTCGACAGAATTAAGACGCTTCGTTTCGACCCGCTTTCCATTCCAAATGGTTTCTTAAGCCGCTGGCTCATGGTTTGCTAGTCACAATTCAGCGCATCCCTTGGATAGTGATCAATAAGCTTTTGTGGAGGACATATCGTCACAGGCTTCTTGGGTGATTTTGCGCAGGTGGCAAGCGGTAGATCTTTCCAGACAATTGTGCCTTTGTCGGCAGGTAGGCTGCCAGTCGCACCACGCATTTCCGTCTCGGAGCCGACAATAGTGGAGTCTATACGTTTGAGCAAGATAAGTCCACAGCGACTTGTGTCGATTATCCCAACCCAGGTCCGCAATACCCCTCCCCTTCGCTGCCGCGTAGGCGCACGGTCTCTCCTGTTCGGGCTGGCCAGCTGGACGCGTCCACCAGCCCGGACAAAGCACCAGGTCGCCCGCGCCACGGGTCCATGTGAGCGACGCGGGCAGCCTTGGCCAATTTTTTGTATCTCGGCTTGGCGGAGGTTGCAAAACCCTGGACAACGTGGCAAACGAAGCTGCGTGTCCAGAACTCTTGGAGCTATGTGCATCCCCGAGCAGAGTGTAGCTAGCAAACATCCCTCCTAGGAACCCCCCTGACATAACCCCCTGAGTATTCACCTCGATTCGATCATTCTACATCTTCAGCAGCTTTCAGGGCCTCTCTCTCTGTCCCCCGCCGCCCTCTCCCCCCTTTTCGGTTCATGTACTCCCTCCCTCAATTGCTGACCCCCCTCGCCAGCCCCCGCGGTCCCCCCACAATACGTTGTGGGAGGCGATGGCGACCCCGAGATGGCGACCTTTCAGAACCACCAGCAGTCCGCCCCGCGGCCCTCAGCTGCGGCGGAGGCGCGGACGGTGCTGGATCAGGGAAAGTGAGGAGGAGGGAAATCAAAACTAGGAGTAGGGAGCAGCAGGCAGTGGAGCCGCTACAATGGACCTGGCATGCAAGGGGGCGTTTTAAGCCCCAAGCCAAACCTGATTGATTTCAAAGTGCTGCCCGTGTTCGGGTATTTGCCTCTCACCGGGTTTTTTACGGGGGGATTTTTCATTCAACCCTCCGATGCCAACCTAGGCTGACCTTTGTTCCGTCCTGTTTAGTTGGGTGTGTGCGCTTTTCTTTTTTGTTTTAGCTCGCTCCTGTGTGTGTGTGTGCGTGTGTGTGTGCGTGTGTGTGTGTGTGTGTGAGTGCGTGTGTGGGTGTGTGTGCGCGCGTCTCACTGCTATTGTTGATGTCTCTCTTTCTCTCGGTTGCAGGCACGGTGTGCTGTGCACGCTGAGCAGTGCAGCCGACACGGCCGGCTTTCCAGCGTCCTCCGTGGTGGAATTCGCCTGCGACGGCACGGGGCGGCCCTTCTTCGCCACCTCCTCTCTGTCCGCCCACACAGCGGATATGCTGAAGGACGGTCGAGTCAGCCTCACCGTTAAGTCGCCCAGTTTCCAGGTATGAAGGAGCGAAGCGGTGAAGGGGGGAATGGAGCTGCTGCTGCGATACCGGCACCGAGGGCCGGGACATGACCCAACCGCACCTGCTTCCGATACCTACGCATAACCCACCCACCACCTTTCGTTTGCTTTTACAAATTTCGGCAGTGTCTGTCTATTCCTGGAGTAATTCGTATACTCCTTGTATCACACAGCATCACTCGTCAGGGGTTCGTCTTTTACCCTACCCCCCCCCACCCATCCACGCACTTAGGGTCGAACTCGCACCTTATCCGTTCATGTATTTGTTGCATATGTGCTTACACACATATGTATGTCTTCACTTAATCATCGTGTTTCACGACATGCGTTCCGACTCGGCCATCCTCGGCTTGGACTGCTCTCAGGGCATGGACTGCGGGCGGCTAACACTCCAGGGAACCGTGGCGCCGGTCCTGGAGGCGGATAAGCGGCGGCTGCGGGAGGTCTACCTCAAAAAGTACCCCTCGGTGAGTCACAGGTGGCGTTGCACGTGCCACCTGACCGCCGTGACGTGTAGGTTTCCATAAGGCCCTAAGGGTTATCAGAGACTATTAGAGTGAGCGGTCTGATAGAGGCCCTAATCAGCGGGGGAAGTAAAGCCCAAATAAGGTCCCCAGCCGGCCCACTCGCCAGGGAAGCGGGTGATTGGGTGATGATGTAATGGTACGGAGCGGCATGGCTTCCCTGTGTGCGGTGTGTGTAATGACGAGACTGCCAGATTACGAACCCAAACTCCGTAAAACCTTCGCAGAGAGTTTGGGGGTTTCGATGACGGGCATGGGACGACATGAGCGTTTAGGTGTGTGCGGACGAGTTCAGCGACGGCTATAGGTGACGACGGCGAGATGTAGGACAGAGCTTACAAAGGGGATTTGGTGGCCTTGCTGCTTCAGGGTGTGACTTTACGCAGGGCTGGCATGTCTCATGTGATTGTATTGCAAGGCATGTGGCTCCTATATCTATCCATCATGTCATGCATCAAAGCCCTTCACCTCTCTTGCTCTCGCCATTCCCCACACCCCCTGCCTTTTCGGATGCCATTTCGGGCCGCCACACGCCACCAGGCCTTCTATGTCGACTTCCCTGATTTCCAGTGGTTCCGAATGGACAAGATTGCTGCGGTCCGCTTCAATGGCGGCTTTGGCCGAGCACCGCGGGTAGGGCTCTGTGGCGGAGGGATACCGGGCTGGGGATAGTGAGACCAGGGAGCGGTCTAAGGGGGAGAGCATGTGGGCCAGGTAGGCGCCGCCGTGTCGCCGGTTGTAGCAAGTTGGCATTGCACTGTTACACCGACAAGCCAAAAACCTTTAAGGGCTGACAAGGGCTGACAAGGGCTGACAAGGATATGATTTTGTAGATTTTGTAAAAGCTTATTATATATAATGTCAACTACTACTATTATTTTGCCGGATCTCGTCTGCCTCTTTTTTCTGCGTCTCTGTTCGGTCTCTTCTCTCTTTGACTTGCACGGACTGGGTCCCCCTGATTGTTCATTCCCTTGCCTGCCCCGCCACTCACTACTGTCCGCGTTGCCTGCAGTTGACGGTGGATGACTACCTGGCGGCGAAGCCACCCGGTGTACCCCTTCTCGGCGCCCGTGTGCAGCCACATGAACGCGGACCATGGGGAGGTGGGCCGGGGAAGAGAGGGAGGAGGGCAGCGGGATGGTCTGCGTGCTGGCTGCTGCATGAGCAGGTTTTCGAGGGCCGGCGGACAAAGCTACAAGGTGCTACATATGTCGACGGAACCCAAGCTGGATCGGAACATAGGATGGCCGTCTCTTTGGCCTGTTTGCAGTTTAACTGGGGCATTTTGTTGGAAGTCTTCACACTTTCCTGCTCAGCCGTCTCCTTTCGCTTCTTCCATCTGCACACACAGGACAGTAAGGCCATGATCAAGCACTACGTGGGCCTGAGCGTGGACACGGTGTGCATGATAGACCTGGACCGGCTGGGGATCAACTGCTCCGGCCAGACGTTCAAGGTGCGAGGGGCGCCCAGGGTAACTGCGTGGCTGTGTGGGTGGGGTAGGGTCCCTGCTATGCGGGTGTGCAGGTATGGAGCCCTTTAAATGTTGCGGCAGTGCCTCCTCACCACATTTTATTGGATTTCGGTTTTAGGGCTTCGAACGGGGAAGGGAAGGGAAGGGGGATGAACGTGGGATGCATCAGAGCACATGTAACCCTTCGCATGGATCGTAAAGCTTCCCGTGTTTCCCCTCCCACAGCTGCGTCTGCCATTCCCTCAGCCAGTGGAGGATCGGAAGGCCATTAAGGATGCGATTGTCGAGATGACTAAGAAGGCGCGGAGCACGGCGGCGACAAATGCGCGCACACCGGGCGGCACGCTGTAACGGTGTGCAGTGAACTAGCAGTGCACGAAAGCTTGCTCCGTTTACCAGTTTGCGGAGGTGTACCAGTTACCGGTGTGTGTGTGTGCAATAAGTGGGGAAATATTTTTAAATCGCGCGCGTGGAATTCGGTGAACTGCGGAAGGAGCTTTAAGCCACAGGCGTGGTTGGGTTAATAAAAATGTTAGGAAGCTGTCGTGTAGTGCTAACAGCGTATGGGATGGCCGTAGCACATACAGCATGAAAAACACGAGACAAGATAACCGTGAAATATCGACTGACGGCAGTGATAATGGTATTTTGCCATGTAAGAATATCTGAATGCTTAGTATCCTGGGGGTTCGGGACTGTTTTGGGGAGTAATCAGCTCCAAGCGGCCATGTAAACGTCACAATGCGACAGGGCCTATAAGGGGCCCACTTGTCTCGACAAGTTTGGAGCAGAAAGTTATTGTTGGTAACGAAAGCAACTGATCGCTGCATCTTCTGGCAGCATTACAGTAAGTGTTGCGGGCGTAAGGCACACAAATGTCATGGCTCACGGGTGACAAATACGTGGATAGAAACCGGGAACAGTTAGCAGATGAATGTGATGTAACACAGGTCATCTGGGATACACACAACACCACACATTGCGACCTCGCTGCAGCCGACAAAGACAGTACACACGCATGGCAATATCCACCAATCCCACACCCGCCTCATGCATGAGACAAGCAACGGTCCCGATGCGCCACATCAAGCACAGAACGACAGCGCTTAAATCAGAATAGCTATTAATGCTGAGAAATACGAAGCCCGCGCGTAATTGCAGGAACGTCCAAAATGAAACGCAACCAAACCGACAGACAAAAGACTGTGAGCCAAGTAAGACCTAAACAAAATTCGTCTTTTGGGGCAGCCGCGAACTAACAATAAGATCGGGTCGAAGCGGCGAGGACTATAACAATGATAGTACGAACAGCAGCCCTGGCAGCCGAAGTCGTACGTCTGAGCATCCACTGGAAGATTTTGCCACATGTCAGAATAGCACTGCAAGCGCTAAATGCCGCTGTGATGTTCTGAAGTCTAGGCACTGCAGGCCTGGAAATCAATGATACCGCACAAATTTCGGCGAACATGCTCCAACCCCCAGTGTTCGGGCCGAAATGTAAACCTGCCGAAACTAGTTTCGGTGTTTCCGACGAAGAGGTCCTGGTTTTGCGGAAAGGCCGAAACTAGTTTCGGCCCCTTTCGGCTAGCGCCGTACGGCAGAACCTACTTGAATAGTTTCAAAGCGTAGGCGCGTTATGCAATGCTGCGAAACTCTGCGAATGCTGAGTTTATCTTAAAAATGTCTCAGACAACTTCCGTTGTCAGTGCAGACACAGAGCAGGTCAAAAATAAGGCCCGCTTATCAGACCGAACTAACAATAAGATCGACCTATAAATGCCAGTTCGAAGCGGCGAAGACTATAACAATGATAGTACGAACAGCAGCCCACTCCACGCTGGCTAGCGCTTTGGCGGCGTCGGCAGACGCCGCAGGACCTCGTCCAGGACCGCCTTCATAGCGGCCATCTCAGCCTTGATAGCGGCCGTCTCAGTCTTGATAGCGGCCATCTCAGTCTTGATAGCGGCCGTCTCAGTCTTGATAGCGGCCATCTCAGCCTTGATAGCGGCCGTCTCAGTCTTGATAGCGGCCATCTCAGTCTTGATAGCGGCCGTCTCAGTCTTGAT